TTTAGGGTTCAGGGCTTAGGGTTCAGGGTTTAGGGTTTAGGGTTTAGGCTTCAGGGTTCAGGGTTCAGGGTTTAGTGTTCAGGGTTCAGGGTTCAGGGTTTAGGGTTTAGGGTTTAGGCCGCAAACGGACCCTGTCTAGACAAGAGCTCAATGGAGTTTCACTAAGCATATCGGGGGAAACATATTTTCCCCAATACGTTTAGCACTTTCAAGGAGAGTGAAAGAGAGAAGCCAAACCGCCAAATGCTTCACGACCAAGCCTGGGAATCCCTTGATTCATGCCGCCCCTCCCCTCGCCAATGTTAGTGCCATTACAGAAAGCGGGTCTATTGATTGAGGGTCTTCCTTAAGCCAAACCCTCAACGCCGATTCCTAAACCCGAAACGAATTAGTATAGGGATATCCCAGAGCGGGTACCCCAAACCCTACTATACCCTGAACCCTTGCAGAAGCCGTACAGAACCTTTACAGCCTAAACCCTAAGCCCTAAACCCTAAACCCTAACCCTAAACCCTAAACCCTAAACCCTAAACCCTAAACCCTAAACCCTAAACCCTAACCGTAACAGGAAACCCCTATGGTGGCACTGCAGGGCAGCCTTGCTTGTTCTCATGTTATGCTGGAAGTGTGGAGCATCTCATCTCTACAAGAACTGCAAAGCCAAATAGCAGTGCCTTCTACACTGCTACGCCTTGTAAAGACCACAAATCTGAAAACTTTGGGGTTTAGGGTTTAGGGTTTAAGGTTTAGGGTTTAGGGTTCAGGGACGTCCCCTTGAGCAGCTCTGAATCGGTTTGGCGGTTTGGGGTGCATAGCCTGGCCCATCCTGGCCTCGAAGTGCCCAACCCTACGCACTCAACCCCCAATGCTACGCCCCCACACGCTGCAACTGAAACTTTAGAAATCTTAACGGCTGAAAGCCCTTAAGCTCTAACCCTGCGTAACAAATCTCTGGAAACCCTGAAGCTCTTGAACGCTGAATCCCTCAAGCCTTAAGCCGTAAATCGTATCGGACGCGAGTTTGTTGGTTCCTCAACCCCTATGCCTAAAGGAACAAGTAAATTATCTTGTCCCTGCTAAACCCTAAACCCTTGTAGAACCGTAATATAGCCGGCATACTTGGAGGCTCATGGGTAGTTATAAGTGGGGTTATAAGTCCCCTAATTAGGGTTATAACTATAGTTGCCCTACTTATAACCCCACTTAGAACTACCCATGAGCCTCCAAGTAGAACCCTTGAGAAAGCCTTGGTAGTGCCGTTTAGATGCTGAACTGAAAATCCTCTGAAGGCAGTGCCACCTTTTCGTCTGCCTTCAGAAGCAGCAGAGTCTAGAGTCCCAGAAAGACAAGAGGCTGTGAAGATAGTTTACCTTAAGAACCCCAAACCCACTTTTTTGTAGGTTCTTATGATAAACCCTAATATGGGATTTGTAGGGACCCTACAAAAAAGGTAGGTTTTGGGTTCTGAAGGTAGGGGCTGAATTATAGTTAGTAGTAGGGTTAAGAAGGCTCCCCTTCATGCGCCCGCCTCTCATACTACCTAGGATTGACGGTTTATGGTCGAGGGCGTTGTTTTTTGGGTTCTGGGAATTTCGGCTGCAGGGCTTTGGTCTTTCGGTTTGTGATTTTGGGGGTTGTGGTTTAGAAGTTAGGGTTCAGGGCTTCGGTTTGCAGCTGGGCTTGGGTTTAGGGTTCCAGGCCAAAGTGCACCAGGTTTTCAAAAGTATACTTGCATCCGGAACCCTCAGGGATAGTATCGGTAATTCTTCCGGCCCTCTGTATTATTAGGATATAGGTCAATTTCCCAGAGCGCCCAATACCACCTTAATGAAGGAATATAGCTTAAATCAACCCCTAAACCCTAAACCCTAAACCCTAAAGCCTAAACCCTAAACCCTAAACCCTAAACCCTAAACCCTAAACCCTAAACCCTAAACCCTAATTAAGGCCTCCGAGGTTCGTGACCCAGGCTTCAAGGCTCAGGGTCTGCACAGGGATTGAATTCAGGCCACCACGTCCCGGAGGGCCCAGTACCCCTTACTTAAGGAATATGCCTTGCACTATGGGGGGCCTTAATATCATGATTCAGGGCATAGTCCTTAGTTAAGGGGTATTGGGCTCTCTGGGTTCTGCTCTGCATGGGACAAAACCGAAACGAAGACGCTGCAGTATGCAATCCTTCCAAGCAGCTAACTCCGGCATCGTGTGTGTACATATGGGTAGTTGTCAAAATTATGGTCCCTTTTGGGGTACCCTAAATAATAGGTGCCGTATTATAATAAGGACCCCAACAGGGACCATAATTTTGACAACCACCCATATTCGAGCTACATGTCGAGGCGTCCGCACCCCCATGATTAGCCCTAAGCAACTTCAAGAGGATATTCCGAACCCGATGTCCTGCATCACCTCTAACGCAATACGGTACAGGTGCACTGGAAAAAAGAGCCAAAACAGGGGTTTGGGGCTTTGTGGTAGTTTATGGTGTGAAGTTAAGGAGATCTCATGTTGACTGCTACTATCTCTCTTAAAACGGACCATGTTGGGAGGGTCTATATCCCGAAGCGTCCCCTTAATCCTAACTCCTACCGTAAGACCTCAACCCTCAAACCCGGAAACGCACAACCCTAGGCCTAGGTAAACCATAAACCCGAAAAGGCCTATATTATAGGGGCCTTCATAATTCGAACAGCGTTTCGGTGTATATTATATTATAAGTATACTAAGCAACCCCATTTAGCCCTCCCTACATTAACCCTCAAGCGCGGAAACCCGGCCAAGAGTCTTAAACCCTTCGGAAACCCCTATGCAACCCTGTTGCCCGCCTTGACATTATCGAAGCCTAAATAATTACCAACATTAATGTTCGGGTTCCTTGTTATAAGTGTAGCGTATAGGTCTTACTCTAATTATTAAGGCCCCTACATTAACCCCATTCACACCGCATGAAAGCCTTGTGGAGCGTAATCGACAAAGCACAAAAATTGACGAATGCCCGACCGGGACATAGAAAACACAGAGCACCCCATCACGAACCTTCGAAACAACCACTCCGCACCCCAAGCCCTGGTAGTGCCTTCAAAGAGCTCCAACCGAAACCTGCACGCCTTGCAAAGACTAAACCCTAAACCCGAACCCTAAAGCCTAAAACCGAAACTCTAAACCCTAAGCCCTAAACCCAAACCCTAAAGCCTAAAACCTAAACTTATAAACCCTCAACCCTAACCTGCATAGAGCCCTGAGGGAGCCCCAAGAGCTCCGACCGGCACCTCCAAGCCTCCCTAAAGCCTAAACCCTAAACCGTAAACCCCCAAGCCCTGAAACCCTAAACCCAACCCCTAAACCCCTAACCCTTAAACCCTAAACCCTAAACCCTAAACCCTAAACCCTAACCCCTAAACCCCTAAACCCTAAACCCTAAGCTACCGAGGCACTGCCTCGTCGTTTGGGCGGAAAATCGGCCCAGCTGGAGAAATTCTCGGAGTCAGGCTTTGTTGGGGTTTATGACTTTAGAGGTTCAGGGGTTTAGTGCTTTAGCCTTTAGTGTTTGGGGTTTAGGGGTTTAGGGTTTCGGGCTCTGTTGGGTTTGGGGTTTGGCGCTCCTTTCGTGGTTCGCTAAGTCTAAAAGGACCTACCAGGGTTATCACAAGGGGTTTAGGGTTTAGGGTTTCTAGGGTTTGGGGCTCTTTGTTAGGGTTTTGGGTGTCAGGGCCTTTGGGGTTGAGGCTTTCGGGTGCTTTTAGGTTTTGGGTTTAGGGTTTTAGGGTTTGGGGTTCTGGCAGGGTTCTTGTAGGGTCTGGGTTGGGGTTCAGGATCTGGGATTTGGGGCTCTGACAGCGAGTCCCGTACGCTTGATGATATGAATCCTGCATTACCCTAAGGCCCCTAAACTATTATGGTAGATTCCTTCTTCAGGGTAAAGCAGGGTTTATATCATCAGCCGTAGCTAAACCCTAAACCCTAAACCCTAAACCCTAAACCCTAAACCCTAAACCCTAGGCTTTGGGATCAGGGAATTTGGGGCCTTGCGGCCTCGGGAGAGCTTAAAGATTCTGCGCCACACTATTTTGAGGGTTGCTTAGAGGGTTTAGGGTTTAGGTTTTAGGGGTTCAGGGTTTAGGGTTTAGGGTTTAGGTTTTAGGGGTTTAGGGTTTAGGGTTTAGGGTTGTATAGTATACTTAATATACCCCAACGCCCCATTCTAATTAATTATGGCTCCTATATCAGCGGCTTTAGGGCTCTAGTCCAGTTGGGTGGGTTTTTTAAGGCACGGCGCGTCAGGAGTTAGAGTCCAGCTTTCGTTCTCTTGTTCCGGGTAAACCCCAAACCCTAAACCCCAAGCCCCAAAAACCAAACCCCAAACCCTAAACCCCAAACCCTAAACACCAAACCCTACACCCTAAACCCCAAACCCTAAATCCCAAACCCCAAACCCTAAACCCTAAACCCTAAACCCTAAACCCCAAGCCCCAAACACCAAACCCCAAACCCTACACCCCAAATGCCCCACCCTAAACCCCAAACCCTAAACCCTAAACCCCAAACCCCAAACCCCAAACCCCAAACCCCAAACCCTAAAGGTCGAAAATTTTGGGGCTTGAAGCTTGCGGCATGGAGGGCTCAGAGTCGATGGTCTGGGGTGTTCGAGTTTAGGAAGGTGTCTGTGAAATGTCTATGAGGGTTTTGGGTTAAAAAATGGCATCGATTTTCTACTGCATCTTTTGAGTTCAGGATTCTGGTTCCTCTGACTCTTATTCTGATCCTTAGTGTCAGTACTATTGCTATCATTATCTAGATTGCTTCTCCTTGCTAACCCAAAACCCTAGACCCCTAAACCCTAAACGGGTGGAGTGGGGTTGTGTTCGGGAATCTGGGTGCCAGGTTCTTCCCATCCTCCTGGATGGGATCGTCCTAGCCCCTCTGCCGGGACCTCGCCGGGGCTGCGGGCCAGACTTCAAAAAGGATCCTGTTATTTGGGACCCCAAAGCAGGCTCTTGACATTGGACTTCTTTCTGAGGCATAGGTCTGGGGTGGGACGAGGATGGCATTCACCTCTGGTTCCATTCATTGTGAAGCTATACGTCTATTGGCCGCTCTTCTGTGGCCACCGTGCGTCTCGAACAATGTGCTGAGCAGAGCCTGAAGCTTGCGCTATTGGTTTGGGCGCTTGCCAAGCATACCTCTAAGCCCCCGCTTTGGTTGAAAATCTGCGACCACCCTGCCCTCCGAATCTCCGTGGAGCCTGCCTGCTCCTATTGTCATCTCTTTGGAAGTTCTTCGGCAAGAACTCTAGTGTTACAAGAATAGCTGGGTTACAGACTGGGTAGCTCTAAAGAGTTATTACTCGCAAAGGTTGTGTGTTTTTGCGCCAGGTTAGCGTTTGCATTTTTTGTGCTCCGGGTTTGCTTTACACGCAGCGCGGCCTGCGGGCAAGGTGTGGGGGACTGAGTTTTTGTGTTTTTCTCGTGAATTTGTGCATTGGTTGTGTTGTTGTTTGTTTTTTTCTCGTGTGTTTCTGGCATTTGCGCATGTTCTTTTGCAATGTGTTTTGGATGCGGCATGTGTTTTGCATTTGATTTTGGTTGGCCTTTTTGCTTGCGTCTTGCAAAACACAGGACCGCGCGGCCATCAAATGCAAAGAACACAAGCCAGCTTACCTTGACCACGACCAGCTGTAGCCTGCAAGGATTCGTATATTGCCATGGGTTTCACACGACCATATCTGCTGATGACCGCTATCACTGTCATAAGCTTACTCTTACCATTATGGTATACCTCTGCTGCTGGACATGTTTTGCTTTCTCATCCGTCTTGACTAGTCGGGGAAAGACAAAGAGACTGTTCGTATCGGATTGCGTTTCTTACTGAATGCATTCGCCAGTATGGTTGGTTTGTCTGGTGATTTCCACAGTTAGCTAGTCAGTATCGCCACCATGGTCATCCTTTCTTCTCATGTTTCTATTGCTGGCTGCATGCATGTTTTTGCATGTTTTCGCCTTGCACAGGTTTTGCATATGTTCTTCGCGTGCATCGCAAAGCCGCCGCCGGCACGCCGAGGCTCACTTCGATCACGTATTTTGCGCGCTGGAGCGAGGAGGGTCTGGACTATGGGAAGGACAAGGCGGGGTTCCGGGTTTAGGGGTTTAGG